ATGCATCACATTTATTCGTTTTTTTTTTATGTTAAAACTGTGTAAAATTATTAGTTTACTTATGTACTTTTCTCAGTAGATGTAAAGATTTATTTGTATACAGTTATCTGAAAACAATTTGGTGGTCATTTTGTGGTGCTGGGCTAGCAAGATTAAATTCTGATTTGAAGTTAATTCTTTAGTTGAGATCAGTTGAGTAAAAAAATCTAAATAGTAGGGGGAAATCTGTATATTTAGTCCATATTTATGATGTAATTATTATTGTTTTGTTGCAAAACTTGTTGGTGGATAAATAAGACAAACCTATTTAATATCTAACTGTTTCTCCTAAAAACAGATAAAATAATTGATCAAATGGAGACTTTTGCTGAAGTCATTTGCTTGATTTTCCTCCAGAAAGAAAAAAAATCTCATGTGCTTCCTCTGGTGTCAGAAGAGTTTGCAAAATGGTTTCATTCTGTGCTCAATGTTTTAATGTACTGTATGTTAAGAATAGTCTCCATTACATATAGATTTGTGCCTGTTTGTGTTTAAGGAGACTTAAATGAGACATAATTGTGAACTTATCTTCCTGAGCTATTAAAGAACAAAGTCTGATCAATACTATTTTCCCATGGGAACTAAGATGCACCATTACAGCCTACTGTAGAATTATCATGCTTAATGCAGGCAAACCCAGTTGTTCACAGAGCTGTGGGAACATAAATGTCTGGGGATAACAGTAATTCTTATTTACCCTGTATGTACAGCAGAAGTTCAATTTGATTTTACATTTGTCTCTATAAAACATGCTAGCCAAAAAAAAGAAAAGGAGATACAAAATTGATTTTTTTTATTTCCAGTAAGACTGAATTGAATTTAACAGCAAATGAAACATTATTTCATTTCATGCATTAAGTTAATTTAATTCTTCAGGCTCCAAGAACCGTTATCAAAGCATGAAACATGAAAAATGAGAAAAACTGTTAACCAAATTAACCAAAACCCTTTAACCTCTATCAGAAATGTTTTGCTTTTCAAGTAGACACTGCAATAAACATTTAACGAAAATGGAGAATATCCAAGCATCTCTGAAATATTTACTGTTATCATCTATTGCAGTAAACACATTTGTAACTCTTTCTTAACATATTTTGAAAGAAAAAAAAGAAAGAAAAAAATTCCTGATGAAGGTTCATGCGACCGAAACGTAGTCACGTAGTGATATGCTTTGCATAGATTTGTTTTTTGCTTAGGGTAGAAAAAAAAAAAAAAAAAAGAGACTGGAGAACATTACTTTGGTCTGAACTAAAAAAATAATAAAACACTCATAAAGAAGTTACTTCTTCAACAAATTATAAATTACTTTCTCATATACGCAATGATGTGGAAAACAACTCATAGTAATTGTTGCATTATATATATATATATATATATACACACGTCAGTGGTGGGCTCTGGCATGCGCTCCGTTCATCGGGGTGATGGTGGGCTGGGCACTGGGTCGGGAGTGGAACTGGCGAGATTTTCCTGGGAACAGGCGGGGAACGGAGATCCATTTCTCGCCAGTGTCCACTCCACAAAGGCGGTGAAATTCGCTCGAGGACCATCTTCGGACGACAGCGCTCTGCATGAGATGTTCAATCTGGCGTCGTAGAACGCATAGAGCGCGTCATCCGGGTAGCTGGTTAGAGCAGCGATGACCAGGAACAGTCTGGTATGGCCCTCGAGCGGTATTCCGGACGGGAGAGGGGATCCATAGAAACAACGGAAACAAAAATGGAGGGAACACACGATATCCTCCCCATGCTGAGATGCATTGTATCATGTGTCGACGATAGCCAGAGATATTGTCAAAACAAAGCATCAAAAATTGGCAATATTAAGAGGATTTAGCATTTCCAATTAATGTAGGCCTGTTACATTCTTATTATTATTAGGCCTATTATTATTATTATTATGCTACTTTCATTATTAAATTACATGAAATTATTGCGCCACAATAACTTCATAGCGCATCACCGCATGACTCCCTGTGAGGATAATTAAAACATAGGCTATTAGCTTACTCCTCATTGAAAATTTTTTTTTTAAGTTTTTTTTTTTTAAAACAGGTCTATTAATTTACACAATTAAATTATAGGCCTATAATTTTTTTTGTATGATTTATTACATTTTCACAACACAAAAAAAAAAAAAAAAAGATGTATGGACGCGTTTCAAAGCCAACTGCCAGGTCTCTGTCTCTATCTCAATGTTAAGATCCCTAGCCCATGTAAGACGCAGACCGTCAGAGGCCAAGGGATGATATGTGAGCAAGATGTTATAAATCTTAGAGATGGCTCCGCTATGATAAGGATTGATAATGGAAATGGTATCAATCAGAGTAGAGGGTGGAATCAAAGGGAACCCAGAGAAATGCTTGCGGACAAAATCCCTGATCTGCAAATACCTGAAAAAATTGGACCGTGGCAAATTAAAAACTTGAGTCAGTTGTTCGAATGATGCAAATATGCCATCAATGTAAAGATCCTTAATAGAAACTATCCCATGATCCACCCAGGCTGCAAAAGCCTTATCATTGAAAGAGGGAGGGAAAAGAGGATTAGAATGAACAGGGCATAAGAGAGGTGTTGTCTGTAGAATGAAATGGCGCCTAAGCTGACACCAAATCTTAAGACAATTTTTATCTATAACATTATTAGAAAATTTTAAAGATGAAAACGGAGGAAGACACAGAAGAGATGCAAGTGAAGAACGGTCACATGCAACCTCCTCAATCCTCAGCCAGGGTGGAGGCTGATAATTAGAGCAACACCAGAATAATATATTTCGAACATTTGCAGCCCAGTAATAAAACAGGAAGTTAGGTAGTGCTAATCCACCCAACTCCTTAGTTTTTTGCAATATGCCTTTACGCATTCTGGGAGTTTTCCCGTTCCATATAAATTGAGAAATAGAACTATCCAGAGAATTAAAGAAATGCTTTGGAATAAAAACTGGGATACATTGAAAAAGATAAAGGAATTTGGGCAGTATATTCATTTTAATACAATTTATCCTACCTGCAAGAGAAAGAGGCAACACAGACCAACAATGAAAATCTTCAGTCAATTGATCCAGCAGAGGAGAAAAATTACAATTAAACAAGTCAGAGTAGTTCTTGGTAACACAGATGCCTAAATAATTAAAACTGTCCAATGATATCTTGAATGGCCATTTTGAAAGAGGATAGGCTGCAGCTGCAGAGTTTATAGGCAAGAGTTCACTCTTATGAAGATTCAGTTTGTACCCCGAGACCTGCCCAAATTCCTTCAGTAAGTCTAACACAAGAGGTATGGATCTGTCTGGATCAGAAACAAAAAGTAAAAGGTCGTCAGCATACAAAGACAGTTTGTGCCCAGAGTCCCCTCTTATGATATAGGCCTATAATTAAAATTATTAACACTGCAGTTATCAATGAAAATTAAGAGCAGCTTTATTTCGTGCACAGATTAAAAAAAAAAAAACTGTTTAACTGTCCATGTATTTCACTATATGGGCCACAAGAGAAATATTAAGGGAATAATTTAAGACAGTTATATACCGTCATTAGCCTATGTTGAAGTAGTTTTGTCTCTTGTTGTCTCAGAGAATATGCGCCGTTAATGCAGCGTTAGAAAGCTCCGTCTGTCACGTTACGCTGCCGGAAGGAACACGGAGTCGTGGATAATAGAAAGAGTCTTTAATAGTTACCAACACAGAGGGTCAATCCAACACAGGGAACAGGAGGTAAACACACGTACATCACTGATAGACCCAACAAATACAAACTGAACAGACTGGGGCTTATAAGGACTGGATAACGAGGGACAAAATAGACACAGCTGGAATCAAATTAACACAATTAACATGAGGAGAAACTGGGTCACGGGGAACAAAACACACACAGACAGTCCAGAACCCTGACACCGTCAGTTTTTTTACTTTCACTTTCTCTATAGTGAATTGACTGACGTTCACCAGGGCTGCGTTCAGATTACTAAATGATATTTAGACAGACTTGAAGAAGTTCCAGATCTATACTTGTGCTCTTATTATTTCAGTTATTTTGCCTTTAATGTAAAGAAACATGTGCAAACAATATTCTTGCCCTTGTGAATTTATTTGCATGTTAATTACATTGTGCCAGTTGTCTCTTTAATACCGCGTGGTTTATATGCATGTTGCTGCTGATTGGGCTGACATGTTTGACACACCCACCAAACAAGAGAAAACGCATCTCAAACCCCGTTGCACACCGTTTCCAGGAAACATGTCGTTCAAACCGGAAACCGTAGCAAAACGGTGCACACCTGTTTGAGTTTGAACTTGCCCCTGCATAACTCTTGCGCACAGTTTGTGCGTTGCTTGCTTGTGTTGCTTGACCCCTCCCCCATAATATCAATTGTTTATAGGCCACGTATTAGGCCATTTTTATTTTATTTTAGGTTTTTAATGTTTATTTTTCAATGTTAATCAAAGTGACACCAAAAAACAGGAACATCATTAGGAAAATGAAATCCTGGGGATGTAGGGAATATAGTCATATTTGGTGGTTTTAATGCTTTAAAATGTTGAAATTATTATTATTTTATTATTATTTGTCATTTTTAATAATTAAATATGCTTAAAGTTCAAGTTAATTAAACAATTCGACTTTAATAAAACTTAAAGTTAATTAATAATGTTAATTAGTCCTTCTGTGTGAGACATTTGCATAATGCTATCTGGCTTGTTGTCTATCATGGAGGGCTTAAATAAATAAATAAATAAAGTGTCATTTTAACATTCACTATAAAAGAGTAGCCTAGATATGTGCAATAATAATAATTCCACATAAAAATGTTTTTTACAATGTTGTGAGATTAAGAGGAGGAAGAAGCTATTTGTCCAATAGATGTATTTCTCTGCACATGTGTGTTGATGTGTGGTTCTTTGACGCCATGCCCACGTCACGATGACGCTGAGTTCTACCTTTGCCTTCACGCTCATCACTGTCTGATGCTCCAGACTTCAAGCACAGAGCCGTGACACAACTTGAGAGGAGTCAGACCATACAGACCATTCATAAAACCACATCAACAACACAACAGCACACCAAGCTAGACTCACATCAGCCCACTTCTCCAGTTCACCCTCTTTGACTCACTGTGCACATTTATTCTTGCGGCTTTTCACTTATGTCCCGCAAATCCAGCGATGACTATAATCTGCGTAGTATGAGCAATCTGATGGGCGAGAGGAGGAAGCGAGCGTCGGATGATGGAGAGCGGAGTCTCATCAAGGCTCCGTCCAGCGCCAGCCTCAGCAGCGCCGGTCCCTCAGCAGCGTCCCCCGCGCCGGCGGACCTGGAGCGTGCGGCGCGCAAACAGTTCCAGCAGGATGTCATGCCGGGTTTCGTCTACGTCCTGGCCGTGTTCTCCGCTATCGGCGGCTTTCTGTTCGGATATGACACCGGGGTGGTGTCCGGAGCGATGCTTTTGCTCAAGAGGGACATGAATGTAACTGCCCTGTGGCAGGAGCTGCTGGTGTCCGGGACTGTTGCCGCGGCGGCGGTCTCCGCGCTGCTCGGCGCGTATCTCAACGGACTGTTCGGGCGGCGGGTGTGCATCCTCACGGCCAGCTTCACCTTCGCCATTGGGGCGATAGTGTTGGGATCTGCACCCAATAAGGAGGCTCTGCTGGTTGGACGGCTCATAGTGGGACTTGGGCTGGGTGAGTGAGACACACCTGACCGATGCTAATTCATTCAGTGTTGGCATCAGAAAAGTTACTATAGTAAACTTGAGGTTGTTTGGGGTCTTGCCATATTGCATTGTCTTTGAGTTTTAATCGATTTAAGCAATTTATAAACATAAAATATACAAATGATTATACATCATGCAGATTTATAAATAATGTTACGGTAAAATATCACTTTACTGTAAAAAGTTATCTTAAAGAGTTAGACTATTTCTACCTGATCTTACCCTTAAATATTGTTGGTGTAACCTAACATAGGCTATTTAGATTGATTCAGTTATGTTAAATAACATTTTTGGCAGTGTTGGGAAGGTTACTTTGGAAATGTAAATAACTGTAACTGATTACAGTTACATTTATTTTGTAATTAAATTAGGTAACGCCGTTACATGTAACTAGTTACTCCCCAACACTGATTTTTGGTAACATGATTTGAATAAAACCAATTACATTACTGTAGATGTTACCATAGGAAGCATTTAAGGTTACTATTTTCAGTCTAGAAATGGGGAAAAAATTGCAATTTAGAGTTACTAATACCATAATAGCCTAAATGGTGATACTGATAGATACTGAACATTTTGGCATACACACACACACACACACACAATTTATGTAAACATATGTAGTCAGGTTAATTTAGTATTAGAAAATAACATTTTAGACTTGAATAAAACCATATGAAGCACTATATAAAGTTACCTTTTTTAAATAAACTACATGAAAAGATGCTTGCCTTCTTTTTATTATTTTTTGAATATCTGCTAAAACCATATGAAGCACTATATAAAGTTACCTTTTTAAATAAACTACATGAAACAGATGCTGCTCTCCTTTTTATTATTTTTTGAATATCTGCATCATTGTTTTGAAAATGAGCACGACTTTGGTAGCTTTCCCTTTCCTCCTTTCCTTCATTTCAAACTGTATCTTTTCAATTTGGATAATTTTATTTAAAATGTATACTTATCTATATTTATCATTTTCAAACATCATTTATATTTACATCTTATATTTTATCAAGGATGTTCTTGACCAAGACTTTTGTCTGCTTAGTAAGTTCAATAACTATCTTGTTTAAAAAAAAAAAAAAAAACTTTAGTAAGAGCAAAATTATATATATTTTTTGCATTGAAATTATGCCAAAACTGCGGAATAGTTTTATTTTTTAAACATTTATAAAATAAAAGAAAGAAAGTAAGAAGCCGAAATAAATGAATAAAATGTAAAATAATAATAAATAATAAATAAATATTACTTAAATATGTTAATAAATGAATTACTTCAAATAACAAATACTAAATAAATAAATAAATAAATAAGGCTTTAAATACATAAATATGGTTACTTAAGCCCAAAACACACTGCACGATTTTAGCAATCCTATAAGATCACTGCATGTCACACTGTGGCATGGATCTAATAAACTTGGCTACGACTTGTGTGTAGACTGTACGATAATGACATCTATTGACTCGTACTCTACGACGCACGTTCCTATAGAATAATAAAACGTCATCAGCATGCGCTAGTAGTAAACAAAAAGAGCATGATAAATCACACTTTAGCAGTTGTATTTTTTATGTGTGCTGGAAAAAAGTTGAAGCAGTGAAAGAGGAAGAGATAAGTGCTTGAGGTAAGCAGTTTTATGTTTTAGCATGATGTCGCGTTGATTTCATGTCGCAATTTTATTTGTGGATCAGTAAACGTGGATCGTAGCAGCAAACACACTGTGCGATGATCATGCTGCATCGTAGGCTATCTTTGGTTGCAAGACTGTGACAACGGCCGTCTTTGAACCTCTCTCACTGTACAACATAAGATCACCGAATAGGAGCCACGATCACAAAAATCGCCATGATTGTTTCAAGTGTGTTTAGGGCTTTATACATATACACATGCCATCTTCTCTTGGTCTGTTCTCATCAGAGATATTGTAGACTCACTGCATTACTGTGATCTTCCTTGCTACTCTATTGGAGTTATTTCTGATTGCTTTTCATCTTTGTGTTGTCTTGCTACCTTGTTGTAGTGACCTTTTTTGGGATACCTTTTGTTCTCTTCAGAATAGCGTACACTGCTTGTGTTCAGCGGATATTCTCCAAAATGGCTCTACGGTGATGCGGAGAGACACAGAGGAGACAAATTGTTGAAACAAAGTCGTTATTTTTGTTTTCTTCGCGTACAAAAAGTATTCTCGTCGCTTCATAACGTTACAGTTGAACCACTGATGGCAGATGGACTATTCTGACAATGTCTTTCATACTTTTCTGGACCTTGACAGTGTAATTTACTTGGCAGTCAATGGGACCGTCACAAGCCTCCCGGTTTTCATCCAAAATATCTTAAATTGTGTTCCGAAGACGAACGAAGCTTTTACGGGTTTGGAACAACATGGGGGTAAGTGATTAATGACAAAAATGTTCATTTTGGGGTGGAGTAACCCTTTAAGTGCTATGAGACAGTTTTTAGTTTTTAATCTATTTTATTGTGGTCACACTGGGCTTTGCAGAAGCCAAATACACCAATTCAAATATCAAAAATCAATCAAAATAACAGCTAATTATCTGAACAGATGTGAATAGATGCACTGACTGAATGTACTTTTTTTATTGTTCATCTAGGAGATAACTAAAGTAAAGAATACAGACCTGACATGTTTGTATCTTTTAATTAGTCATTAGGTTAGTCCAGTGGTTCTTAATCCTGGTCCTGGGGACCACATCTCCCTTATCTGACACACTCAGTTCTGTTCATTGAGTTCTCTATTGACAAGCTGAAGATCTGAATTAGATGTGTTCAATTAGGTCTGATCAGTTTTTATAGGCAGCATAGATGTATCCTTCACTGCCTTTGATATCTGAATAGATATCAGTCCTATGTGTTCCATTCTTTGTCAGTTGAGCTAAAAAAATAAAGATGCTTCTAAAAGTTGCAATTGGTCCTCAGTTTGTGTTTTTGACCAACTTTTTCCACTACTATTATAGTAATTAAATATTTGCTTAGTTTTCACCAAAGCTCACTCTATTTGTTGTAGATTATTAAATTGTTACTCTGCCTCAGAAGTCTGTCTGAAATCAGTTTCTTCAGGTGCATTTGTGTGCAAACGCTACCTGCAAAGTCATTGCCTGATAAGGCACAGAGGCAAGAAGTCAGCTGCCTAAACTTTCGGCTTTCTAAAGCAGTCCTTGCTTAGCTGGTTCAGCTGTGCTGGAGTTGGGAACTCTGGGAAATCTGCAGGACAGAAGCTTTCTTGGTCTTTTTTAACTTTTTTGCCTTTTATGTAATGTTTCATTAAATGCAAACAGTTAGGTTATTTAGTGTATGTTCAATGTGGTTGATTTTCCTAAAGGATTTTAGACAGTCTTTTTAATTGCTTTGCTTAAAGGAACCCAAGTGAGTCATAGTGTAGAGTCATAGAGTCACAGGCTTTGATAAAATTTCATGCAGCGTTTCATTGAAAATTCAGACCTATTTTTAACACAGGCAATTAGTACAGAGTCAGAAGGATTCACATGATTTGATTGGGTGGTAAAGACTGACAGAGCTCCAGTAGCTCAAGTGGTATTTCTCATTAATGTGTTTTACAGAGCTTCCAAGAATCAGCTAAATATCCTGTGAGCATTTGGAAAGAGCAATTTGGCCTGATGCTTATTGTCTAGCATTATGCACTGTCATTAGGGAAGATTGGTGTTTTCTCAATCCTTATATTGTCTGGCTGACTAACTCCTTCTTGATTGCTTAAATCCAGAGAGTCACCATTTGACCCATTACACTCTGGACCATAATCCATATTTGCAGTTTTAAATATATTTTGCACTATTACTTTTAAAGCCAATCATTGTTTTTTTTGTGTAGTAGTCAATAACCATGTATACTTTCTTCAGGAAATATGAACATGTAATGTATTTTTTCCATTTCAAGTCTATTTTCAAATTACTTTTAGGAATAAATTCTTTTGTAACTTTCTTGAAAGGTCACTGATCTGATAATTGACCACTGACTTCTGGTTTAAGCGATTGAGCCCAATTACTTCCACACTGACCTTTGCGAAAACACAAAACCAGCAGAGGGCAAAACTAGGATCAGTTAAACCATCAAAATAATGACCTTTTCCTCAGCCCATTATCTTTATTTAGCATAGTTAAGACAGCAAAATACAGGACACATATATGGGTATACTGTATGTTCTTTCGTTATGTGAGTCAAGCCATTAATGCAGTGTTTGGAAACCCCATCTCAAGGGATTTGGTCAATTCCTCACCTTAACGTTCCTTCAAACCGGGCACAGAGCCTCGTGCTAATCACAGATGGTGTAAAGTAACAGTTCAGTTGGTCTGGTGTGATCAGAGAAGAAGCTACGCTATTCTGGCAATCGTCTGCTGTCTCCATGACTCCACTATCCTTGTGGAGCGAAAGGCCATTAGAGCGATGACCTCTCACGTTGAGTGTCTGGGGTAGTCTGCTGAATGAAGTGGATGTGTTTTTCCTTTAAAACACTGTCTCTAATAATAGAGGACAGCTACAGCTTCAGTTGGGAGTCTCACACTAATGAGTCCGCTCTCTAGTTTTGCAGCTGAAGAACAGTAAACCTAAGCAAAAGCAACTACAGTTTATTTAGCAGACATACACAAAACACCACAACAACATAGACAAGCGCCACTTCCTCCGACTGACTGTTACGGGCTGAGCTGCAGTATTGATATTGTGATGTATTCTTATCTTGTATACTGATATCAGTGGATTGATACTTGCTAAGTATTCCCTAGCGCTTTTAAGCAGATTTACTGATGGCCATTAATGTTGAAATATAACACTCAACACACAGTATCTCTCATGCAACATCAATATCCTTGTAAACTGCGATTCATTTGTTTGTGTTTTCGGTACATACATATTGACTTTTCAAAGCCTAGTGAGCTGCCTCGCTGTCTATATACGTATCTACCTTCTGAAGCAGCTTCCTAAACAAGACAAAACCTCATAAGTGACTGTTCTACTTCAGCATAGAAACCTTGTTACCAGCAGCACAATAATAACTCTCCCCAGGCTCACAGTTGCTTATAGAGTTAGCTGCTAAGCTAACCACATGCTCAAAAACAGATACACATATTTTATGAAAATGGTTAATTTTAATAAGAACCATTTTTAGCAATAGTGTTTAGTATTGATCTAATTTGTTTGAAAACTGTCAGCCATATTAGAAGAAACCTTTTGGAGATTGTTTTAAGCCCAAGACACACTGCATGATTTTCGGTTGTCCCAGACGAAATATTGGCGTCGTGAAACAATCGTGGCTCCTAATCGGTGCTCCTGTGACGTACAGTGAGAGAGGTTCAAAGACGACCGTTGTCATGGTCTTGCGACCAAAGATAGCTACGACAGTTTTCTGACAGTATCAGAATTACAGCATGATCATCTCACAGTGCGTTTGCTGCTATGACCCACGTTTACTGACCAGCCAATAAAAATAAGACATGAAATCAATGCGACATGGCACTAAAACATAAAACTGCTTACCTCTTATCCCTTCCTCTTTCGCTGCTTCCAATTTTTTTCAGCACACATAAAACCTACAACTGCCAAAGTGTGATTCATCATGCTCTTTTTGTTTACCACTAGCGCATGCTGATGATGGTTTATTCTTCTTTAGTAACGTGCGTCTGTAGCATACGAGTCAATATCATCATCGTACAGTCTGCATGCATGCCGTACCCAGGTTTATTAGATCCACGTCGCACAGTGTGATCTGCAATGATCTTTTAGTATTGCTAAAACCGTGCAGTGTGTAGAAGGCTTTAGTCTCAAATTATACATGTGATTCTGACTAAGATTTTGGCTAAAATAGACACCTACTAATGTATTTGGTGAAGTCCATAAAATATGCCCTGGTTTTGGGCAAATTACTGTATATGGCTGATTATTTGATGCAAAAATTGATAATATGATTCTGTAATCATAATTTGTGTGAACAGGAATAAAAGTAGTTGGTATTTTATTGCCACTAGTGTTCATTTCAGCTGGAAACTGAAGTGAAATGTATGTATAGGTACGTTTTTGGACAAAAATGTAAATAGAAGCACATTTTTCCAATAAGCCTGGGTTGGTTAGGATGCATCCATAGACAGTAGGAAGAAAAACAGCTCACTCGATTTTGAAACAGACCCTTCGAGACAACTGGGAGAGTTGTGGTTTCATTGGATAGGTGAACGTTTTGATGTTTTGTCCACGTATGAAAACTGAGGTGGCATGTTTTAAGCATGTACAGACAGATATCATATCATGCTCCACACAGCCATCTTTGTCATTTTGAATGATCCTTCCATGTGACATAAAAGTGGTCTTCCCACTTGTATAAATAAGGATTGTCTGTGAATGGCATTGTTGGATAACCTGCATCACTGAGGAGAATACATCCTTTGCTCATGTGAAATCACTGTCTTTCAAAATGTAAATGAAATGCCAATAACAGCTGTCGTCTCACAGTATTGATTAACCTCTTTGTGAGGCAAGCAGTGAGGCGTTCCCATGGCAACAGGTAAGTTGTCTGCCGGGCAACGAGAGCGACAGTGAACCAGGGCTATTAATAGACTTTATAGCGAGCGGTTATGTCGTAGATCTTTGGCAGATAAATGTGGGCATGGACTTTTTGTTTGCTCTCCTGTGTAAATATCATGTGAACATTGGTCCCGTCACACCACATTACAATTTCCTCCCCATCCCAATCTGTTGGAAGCAAATTCACATTTTATGGTGTCCTTGTTATTCCAGAAATCACTTGCTTGTTGAAAATGTGCATAATGTGACACATCTGTGATGTAATTGGTGGAAATGATAAGGATGTGTCCTGGCTGGATCATAGTTCATCATAGTTCTCTTGAGAGCCATGTGATTGGCAGGGAACACTGGTACACAAAGCATGTTCACTATGCATGTCACATATTCTTGTGTGTAACCCTCTGACAAAGCCCACAAGATGAGGTCTTTTGTAGATCTGAGAGACAATGTCAGTGTAATAAAGCTTTCAGTGTTCGAGAAATTTATTATGAGGTGCATGAATGCAGTACTAAATTTAGACTCAAGCATGCATGTTTGCTCATTTACATTAAACTTACTTTCATTAAAATCAAGAAGTTCATCATTGTCATAATGACCTATATGTTGTTCCAGATATGTATTATTAGTAGTAGTAGTAGTATTGTGTGGAACAAACTGAGAATAGTTTAAGATTATACTGAATATAATGAACGTGAATGGAGCTTGGACTGTCAACCTCCAAAATTGTAAAAAAACACATTAAATACCAACTTATAATGTAAAATCATATTGGATACTTCATGATTCTTTTATGAAGTGTTTATGGTGCTTTTATGTCATTTTGGAGCCCTAGTCCCCATTCATTTACATTATGGAGAAGAGCAGATAGTACATTCTTATGTATTTCCCATTTTGTGTTCCACTGAAGAAAGAACGTTATATGGGTTTGGAACAAGAGGTTGAGTAAAGGGTAGAATTTTCATTTTTGAGTGACTTGTTCCTTTAAGGTACTTGTGTGCCTTTTGGCATTACGCTTTCTAACCAGAGTGTAGTTTTGACTGCTATATATCTACGCTTTCAGGTATTGCATCCATGACTGTTCCTGTGTACATTGCTGAAACCTCACCGCCCCACCTGAGAGGACGCCTGGTCACCATCAACACTCTGTTCATCACAGCAGGCCAATTCACAGCCAGCGTTATTGATGGGGCCTTCAGCTACATGCAGCATGAAGGCTGGAGGTATGACCATCAAATCAAGGTTTTTTGGCAATATTTTTATGAGTGGTTCAGCTGCAGAATTTGCACGGAATCTAGAATTGTTCTTATTTCTTTGCTGTGGTGTCAAATGTAGAAAAATGTAGTTTTTTTTTTTTTTTTTTTTTTTTTAAATGAGCAAAACTGAATGATTTTCATGATGTTCATAATCTATGGCGCCATGGTATAAGCAGTGAATGAGATGCGAGCTTGCAGTCTGAATTAAATGTGATGAGAGAATGTATTTACTGTGTTGAATTGTCTACCTCTGTGTTATGTGAACGTCAGGCCTACTGGAAAGAATTGTCCTGTAGGGCAGATTTTGTAAATTGCATCATTCTCAATCTCTATAGCCTGTCAAAATAAACCTTCAGAACAATACAAAATAAACATTAAACCAGCTGTAAAATACCTCCCTCACTTTATGCAGCTGTTGCTCTGGGAGCGAAAATATTAAAAAGATAATATCTACTTGATGGAAATGTTGCCATCTACTTTTATCTACCCAAGCAGCAAAATCACAAATCGATCTATGTAAATGAAAGTTTTACTGCTTAACCAACAAACTGTCATGACCACAACTCAATAATCCATAGCAAATAATGATTTAAATATGACTTGTTTTATTTATATATTTTATTAAAATCATTAGGTTAAATTTTTAGATTGTATGGCTAGGTTTAGTATGAGCCAACTAAGTTTTTATGATTTTGTTACCTGTATGAGTTATTACGACTTGTTATGCTGACTCGTTATGATGGATTGGCTTTACTGGCATCTTCTTCTGGTAAATCTGATCTGATATATATATATATGTAAACTTCATTAAAACACCATACATTTACTTTAGAATCAAAGTAAATATTGTAAAAAATGTAGTAAACAAGGTGTATTTACATTGAAATTTTTCATACTAAATTTAGTTTGATTCATGCAACCCCATCTTATAATCCATACAAGATGAGAGTGTGGAAAACAAGCAAGCTAATTGTTTCAGTGGAAATAGAAAATTTGCACTGTAATCTTGTCAACTGAATAAAAAATGAATTCAGATCATTTGATTATCTTTAACGTAATCAAATTCAGTTTATTTCGGCAAAAGATTCAGAATTTGGGATCATTATAAAAACTTTTATTTAATTCATACCATTTTACAGTCTATACCATTTTACCATTAACATCATGTTTTGTTCAAATCAGTTGAAGACTCAAAATTAAACTAGCAACAAAGCGTAGGCACCAGCTGAGGATGTATATGTATTCTTATTTAAGAACAATGATTTTTTTTTCCTTCAGTTTCTCGAATTTCTCTTCCAATATTGTTTCTTTTTCATCTGTTTAGATATATGCTGGGTCTGGCAGTGGTCCCTGCATTGCTGCAGTTCCTAGGGTTCCTTTTCCTACCCGAGAGTCCTCGCTGGCTCATCCAGAAAGGTCTTACCCAGAAGGCCCGGCGCGTACTCAGCCAAATCCGTGGCAACCAGAACATTGACGAGGAGTATGATACTATCAAAAGCAGCATTGAAGAGGAGGAAAAAGACTGCGAAGGAGGTGAGAAAATAGTCTTGCACGCACTCACATATGCAAATAACTCAAAGAAACACAATTACAGTCATGGTTCAGTGATTTCATTAAACTATGGAAAGTACTCAAGTACACAAGAGAACACCATGTGGATATTGGAAAACCTAAGAAGCGTTAACATTTGCAGCATCAAAGTGCCCGGAAACCATTCGTTTTCAATAGGAATTGGTGAATTAGAGTAAAATGGGTATCAGAAACTTCTTCCGATGCAACAAAGTTGTGGTGACCAAAAGGGATGGGAATAAGGAATTGTGGTACAGAGTATTTTGGCACAATGCTCCATGTGTCAGGATTATGGACCTGTTTTGTGTGTTTTCTCCCTCATGTGCCCATATTTGGTCATTCCTGTTCCTGTCCTCGTTCTCTCATTATTAGTTGATTCCCCTCACCTGTCATTCCCTCGTTTAGTGTAGTATTTAGAGTGTAGTCTGCCCCATGTTTCCTTGTCGGGTCTTATACGTCTTCATGGAATTGCTCCGTGTGTGTCCTGCCTGTATTTAACCCCTTTCTGTGGATTATTAAAGACTGTGGGTGGTACTCTCCTGCATTCTCCTCGTTCCTCGTTTCCTCTCCGTAGGCAGTCGTGACAGAACATCGGACCTAATACAGTAACTTTATTTGTGTTTTCCGTGTTTTTTACAGTGTTTTTTGTTTCTGTTGTGTTCCCCATGGATCCCCTCGCCTCTAAGTTTTCCTCCCTTGCCCGTAAAGACCTTCCCTTCTTGGAGTATGCTGTGGAGTTCAGCCAGCTCGCCGTTTTAACGGCGTTCCACGACGCTGCGTTGAACTCCCTGTTCTGGATTGGGGCCAACTACTACCGCCCCGTCAACCTCCCAATTCTGGAATGCGTCTACCCCCGATCCAGAACACAGCCAGACCCAGAGCCCAGCCCACCATCACTCCGCTGCACGGAGCAAGAGCCTGAGCCCACCACTGATGGAGAGCCAGAGCCAGTCGCGACCGACGAGCCATCACTTAGGAGTGCGGCAGAGCTGAGGATCGCCACGGAGCCAGAGCCTTACGGATCATCAGACCAGGTGTGAAAGCCGGCTACAATGCCCGCCACGAGGGAGAAAGCCGTGGACAGAGAGAGCGCGGAGAGGAGCTCCGCCCCCTGCACCGTGGCTGAGGGTGAGCTGAGAAGGGATCTGGGTGAATGGAAAGCAGAAGGAGACCTTATTGACTTGTATACCGACCTGCCCCCTCTCCTCCCTCATCCGTCGGTGACCTCTGTCCCTCCCGTTCCTGAGTTTAGCCCTGTTCCCTCGTCCAGCCCAGAGAGGGCTTCTGTTCCCAAGGGCAGCCCTGAGAGCCCGGAGGCTCAGAAATGCACGCCCACCCTCCCCCTCCTGCCTCCTCCACCGCTGTTGTCATGTGGCAGGGATGACTGAGCGCGGTTATAAGATGATTCCCCGGGTAGAACAGACGCTCGCGAGCTATCTGTCGCCTGACGCGGCATCGTCTTTAAAGGCTCCAGCATTGCCCTCCAAGCCGCTACGAACAACATCAGCGCTGGTGGGCAAAGGGTACTCGGCAGCGGGTCAGGCTGGTGCGTGTCTGCACACCATGGTGGTGTTGCAGGCGTACCAAGCCAACCTGCTTAAAGAGCTAGATGAACATGAGCAGATAAAATCAGAAGATATTACTGAGCTCAGGAGGACCGCTGATTTGTCTCTCCGCGCCACTAAAGAGACCGCCCGCGCCATCGGCAGGTCTATGGCAGCTATGGTGGCGGCGGAGAGGCATTTATGGCTGACCTTATCAGACATGAAAGAGAGAGATAGGGTCTGCCTCATGGACGCCCCGCTTGCGCCCTTCTGGCCTGTTCGGCGACGCCGTCAATTCCATCGTCGATAGGCACCAGGAGGCTCGTAAACAGGCGGCGGCATTCCAGCGGTTCCTCCCTCGCCGCTCTCTAGCTCTGGGGGCTGCTGGGCGGGAGCAGCCCCCTCCGAGTACCAGCTCCTCATACAGGGAGGCACAAAAACAGAGCGTTGCCTCACGTGCTCCTCCGCATCGGGACCGCGAGTTAAAGCGACGCTCTAGGTCGGGGGCCTCGAAGTCTAAGCCGGATCTGCGGACCGTACTTAAGACTAAGAGGTCCTCGGCCAAGAAGTCCTGACGCCACTGGCCCAGGGCTCATGAGGGCAGGCCCCTCTGGGGTGGAGCGGGTTTCATCGCATTACACGATGTCCGTCTCGCCTCAGTGCCCTCAGGAGATCGGTCTGCTAACCCTGCCGGAGTTACAGGGCGCAGCGGTCTCCCGCAAGCGCCACTCTCAGTCACCGCCCGGGAACATAGCGGTGCTAAGAGGTTCGCCCCTCCGCGGAGGTCTCTAGAGCAGCTGGTTCGGTTGTCTCCTGCTGGTTCACCGTTACAGGGCACCGAGCTAGCTGCTCTCATTACACCAGAGGTCAGTCTTGAGAGACTGATTCCCTTAGTAGATTTTTTGGCAGCATGGAAACTACTGCCAAATTTGTTTCCCGAAGCGTCCTCCGACGCAGCTCGAGTTCCTGAAGAGGAACGTCTCAGGTTACGCATGTAACCATGGTTCCTAGAGGGAACGAGATGCTGCATCTCGGGGCCATACTTCCGGCATCCCTGCCAGTGCTTGCTTCACTCCTTGAAGCTGACGCCGGTTTCACCGCACGTGCTTTTATAGCTTCCTGGTCATTACGTCACCCGCCCGTGACGTCTCGCCCATCTATTGGACTGATTACACACGGGGTTCAGAGCCGGTCACGCTGAAGGGCGTTCCCAAAGCATCCTCCGACACAGCGTCTCGTTCCCTCGAGGAACCATGGTTACATGCGTAACCTGAGACGTTTTTTATGATATATAGGAGTTTTTGCGAAATTGACATGTTTCCATTGGGCGTATTTTCAAAGTTCAATTTCAATTTGCGCAATTTGAAGAGTAATGGAAATACACTTAGTGAAGCTCATGTGATCCAGTGATCCAAAGTTGGATACAGCAATTGACACTCTTCATTTCATCTACTAGAAAGCAACAGTAAAACAATGTGGCAACCTTGTTCAGCGCACTCTTCTTTCAATCTTTATGAATGTAACAAGAAAAACAAATGAAAGTAATTAAAAATGTGGTAGCTAGTCTCATACAGAATCAAAAAAGTTTGGAAAGTGCAGATGCAATGTCAAGAGGCAAGAGGATCTTGGAAAGTTCATTGCTTTTGTCCTTAATTACCTCTGATTCAGAGGTCCCTAACTACAGACTGAAGAGGCCTTTATATCCCACTTGCCTCTGCAAAGCTGAAGGTGAAGGAGTCCCTTAAAGTGCCCCTATTATGCCATTTTTAAGGTTGCTTATATTGTTTTATGAGTCACCTAAAACAGGTTTACATGCATGCAAGGTCAAACAACATGTTAGTTTTCTCAAAAAATAGATTTAATTTTACCTCATTTCTAAATTATTCGTAAACGACTCGTGCAAAGCAGTTCAAAGAAGTCTCTCTAAACCCCTCATTTCCGTGAGCCCTCACTGCTGTGATTGGTCAGATGGTGCAGTGATTGGTCCAGAGCCGTAGAGAGATTGGCTCTGGATTGGTGTACCGTGTACAGCGCATGTCGGAAACAAAACGCCCATTGCCATGACGGAATGACAGCACTGGAGACTTGTCAATACATAGAAAAGATGGCATTGATTGTACCTTACCAATTCGAGCCGGAGTCTGATAATGAAACGGCTGAAGTATTCGCAAGCACGACTGGAGCAGGACGTTTCTGAGTGGTAAGTGTCAAGTGTTAACAAGCTTGTGGTAATTATAAGATGTGATTAAAACAAATTTACTCTCACAGCGTAGGATACAGTGTCTTCTCGACATGATGTTAACTACACTGAAATTTTACTGTTTGTGGGCAGGCAAGTTGGCGACGTAGAACATGGGCAGACATTATGCAAATGTGTTACTTTGTGATGTAGAGCCGTAAAAGAATAAGATTCGAATTCCCGATGACTCGTTTAGGCGATTGAGAGCCGACTCTTTTTTTTTTTATGGACAATAACTTTATTTATCGTGCACTGTTGGCTTACAACTTTGCAGATAGTTTATGTTCACATACAGCTACATGACACACTGCATGAAAGGTAATATTCGAAAAGGCATAATAGGGGCACTTTAAAGCTTTAAAGCTCTATCCAGAACAAGACTCAGTCACATTTTATATTTAATCACACTTTATTATACTTAACTACTATGTACTTACATCAAAAAATAAGTACAATGTACTTATTGTGGTCATATTGGATTACAAAACACTTTGCTGCTATTGTGGTGGGATATGGGAAAGGTTAGGGACAGGTTTGGTGGTATGGGTAGGTTTAAGGGTGGGTTAAGGTGTAAGGGATGGGTCAACAATGTAATTATAAATGTAATTACAGAAATTAATTACAGATGTAACTACATATAGGTATTTTTAAAAATATAAGTACAATGTAAAAACATGTATGTACACAATAAGTGCATTGTATCAAATTATTAATTTAAATGTAAGTACATAGTAGTTAAGGCCACCTAATATAAAGTGGGACCCAAGAGTCTTATTATGGTACATACGAATATACCAAGTTGCACATTTTTATCCGTCATAGTCCAGGAGGTAACCTGGTGGAGATTAATGGAAATAAAAGGGGAACAAATATTTTCTTAATGCCAAACAGTACATGCATGGCACACCAGCAATAAAAACCTGAAGAGGCCACAGGTGTTCATGGCCGAATCTCATTTGAGTCAACCTATAATAGTCAAGAGCAATGGAAGGCAACATTACCAGCAATTCAACGGCACAGCAGGGCAGAAACGACTACTGAATAGCATGTGTACTTGAACAGAATGTTTCATCCAAGCAAATCTAATTCGGCCGTAGGTGGAGGCAATTACTAACCATGGGAAGTCACCCAACCCCTAACCAGACCTTATACAACCTCATTTACTAACCAATCACATGGCAGTCATAATCTCTCAGACCTTTTAGCTCCCTTAGAACATCATCTGAACATGATTGACACTTTTCTATGAGATCTTCATCAGAAATAAGATCGTTTATCCAGACTAATGGCTTCTGGCTCCAACCAAGTCACTGTGAAACAAAGCCATAAGCCGAAGACCCTAGAGGCATCATGGTGACTACACCTTTGACAAAAACACATTTTCTGGTCCTGCAGCTGTGATGGTGACAATGTCATGCTCTCAACTCTCAAATGTGTAAGGTCACTGTTCATGGGTTTCAAATAGGCAAATGTTAATTACTGAGACAGCAGGCAGTATTAACAGGAGCTGGAGAGAAGTGATTGCAGTGATTGTTCCTAAGGGGCGTTCAGATAGACAGCAGTTTGCAGCAAACAAAAGTTATTCATTTTCAATGAGAATTGGCAATTTTCAGCTAAATAAATGACATGTCACCTTTGGTGATGTTTAGCAGACTTCCACCAAAGTCCTTTTCAAGAAAAGACAGTTTACTTGGCGGCCATATTGGTAGCTCCTCCAGATAACTTTTGGGCATGCAAGACCATCTACTCTATTTAAAGATATCTCTATAACTCTATAATACAGAAATCTCA